CCCGCGCCGCCGCCGTGGTGCTGCAGTGCCACTGGCGGCGCCTCAGGGCCCGGCGCCAGCTCCAGGCCCTCCGCATCGAGGCACGCTCGGCACAGCACCTCAAGAAGCTCAACATCGGCATGGAGAACAAGGTGGTGCAGCTGCAGAGGAAGGTGGATGAGCAGGTATGTCCTGAGCTGTGCTGGGACAGGCCTGGCCCGGCTGCTGCCTCGTGCCTTTCCGTGTTGTCTGGGAAGGGTCGTGTTGGTGGCAGCCAAGCGTTTGTAAGGGTGGGACACAGCTTGCTCAAACTGTGCTGGAATTGTTGTGGGGGCTGCCCAGCAGGGCTCGGAGCGGGAAGATGGAGCAGCAGTTTTGGAAGGTGTTGGTTGAAAACCCAGGCTGGCTTCATGTGGGATCAGATGTCACAGGCTTGGGGCTGAATTTTCCTGCTGTGCTTTTTGCTCTGTGAGCACCGAGTGTGTGGAGGGTCTACCACCACTGGTTCTATGAACCATGTGTCTTGGGAGTCACATTCCCTGGAAGATAAACAGCAGTTTGGGTAAGTACTTTGAGCACGTTTGTATCACTAGACACAGCAACTCTCCAGGAGTAAGGGGAGGGTGGGATGGTGTGATGTGACAGATCCCTGCGTGGGATGACTTGATGACCCTGTAGTGACTGATCACAGGGGTGTTTTCCTCAGTAGACATCTGCCATTAATAAATTGCAGAGTAATGGTTTGATGGTTTTTAAATAGCAGAAGCTACTAATGTGTGCAAATTACTCTGTTAAATACCTTCTGTGTTGATGTACAGGGAATTGAGGGGTGATGATACAAATTGCTGAGTGGGACCTAGTTGTATTGACTCATATCAACAGGGAAATTCATATCCACCGGTACCCTTAAACTGAATTTTTACAGGTAGGAGAACATTCTCTTCAGTGGGGATTACCCCTTATTTGTAGAATCAGTTTGTGGTAATTCCAGTTTATCATTCTGAGATGTTGTCAGGGTCCCTTGTTCATCCCACACGACTCTCTTGCCACCTGAAATCTCCCCACCCCAGTATGACAGGAGCAGACCTGTGTTGGAGGTGATGATAAGCGGCTCTGTGTTGTCCCAGATGGTGCAGAGTCAGGAGGGATTTTCATTGCTGTGGTCACCCTCGTTAATTGCAGTGTTAATTTGCTGCAGTGCTTTAACTGCACCGCAACAGTTAATGACTTTCAGACCTTGGTGTTTAATTTTAAAATGCCTGTTTCCATACTTAGATTTTGCTAACAGTAGCTCAGGAATGAAAAACTCTCAGAGTAAGGTTTGATATTTGATATTAAGGTTTGATTGACCTTTCATCCAGAAGGTATTTTGGTGGAATTGAATAGGATGAGTCATTCCAGGTCCAGGTATTTTGGGCTGAACTCATGCAATGAGTGTGAACATCAATGTTGGATCTGCTGAGCTGCTGGACTTGACACTGGAACATCAGCAGTATTTTTTAGTTTATATTTTTCGTCATTTCCTTGCTGGGAGAAATGTGGCAGTGGAACAGTAAAGGAGAAAAACACCAATATTTGGTGAACATTGGCTTTCCTGCCATGGGTTATGAAAGCAGGAGAAGGATCTGCTTTAGGGAAGGAGTCATGGAGAGCTTTTAACCAGGCAGAAATAATGGTCTTGAGCTCATCTTGCACTCCCTTGGTATCTCCACAAACTATTTTGTAGGAGTTTTTTTGATGCTTTCTGTGTAGCTTTTGCAGGGAAGAATTCCTGCTGTGGACTACACGTGGTGGTCTGTTCAGTGAGCTGAATTTTACCATCCTTCCAGGGTTGCCAGGTTTCCCTTGGATGCTTTGGAAGTGCTAATGAACACTGTTGCAGTAGATTTTCTTTTCAGTGCACTGAATCTGTTTTCTGGCACAGTGTGTTTGCTGTATCGTAGTTCCTGTGAAGGGTCTTGATTTCAGTCCTTGCTAATCTATAAACACAACCTTTGAAAATACCAATTAACTTTCAAAGAAATAAAGGTATATAGCAGGTAACCTGGAGAGCTGAAGTTGTATCATTATTTTGAGTAGCTGTGGAAGAAAACATTTCTATTGCTGCTACTTTAGCTCACGCATGAGTAGAGATGCAATTCTCCATGTGCCCCTAAGGAAGAGATCTTTCTTTGAAAACATTAAAACCTATTATTGTATGCCAGCCTCTGCTGGCGTCTGTAACTGGAATCATTTAATTAAGCTTTTTAATCAGTTTCTTTTTGCATGCAGAAGAAAGATTTTGATATATTTTGCTGCAAAACATGCTCACTGGAGCACTTTCTTTTCTGTTTACATTGGACCAATTCCTTCTTTTTTTTTTTTTCCTGCTTTTTTTTTCATTCAATTAATTTTCTTTAAATCCATTTCCTGGAATTGCCTGAGACACTCGCATGTGCCTGATGTAGTGTTGAATGCTCATGCAGCCAATATTTAGATACACTGTGAGCTCTCTACACTGTCTCTGCATGCAGTACTATCTTTGTGAGCATTTATTGTGAGTAAAACTAGTTTGGGTAACAAGCTGATGAATTTGTTACATCTGCCTTTTGTAGCAAAATAAACCAGTTTTGTTCACAGAGCCTGGGTTGAAACCAGGACTGTCTCAGTTTGGCAGGGCTGGATAATGATTGAAAATAAAGCAAGTTCCAAGTTTAACAGGGTCTGTTGAGCAATCTCTGATTACAGTGGGGACAAACCCAGTAAATGCTGTCTCGTATCTCTAGTTGTTAGTAAAAAAAATATTCCTGTGCATTTATCTTGTATGAAAATCTCTGGCGGTGTGTAAAACCATGTGCACAAGGTTCTGAAAATGCATTTCTTTGGAAATGTCTTCAGGGCCCCTACTCTGGAGGCAGCCTGGGAGAGCTGGGGCTGCTCCCCTGCACAAGTATTCAGGCTCCAGGGAGAGCTGAGAGCCCCTGGCAGGGCCTAAAGGGGCTCCAGGAGAGCTGCCCAGGGACTGGGGACAAGGCCTGCAGGGCCAGCACCCAGGCAATGGCTTGCCAGTGCCAGAGGGCAGGCCCAGCTGGGATATTGGCAAGGAATTGCTGGCTGGGAGGGTGGGCAGGCCCTGGCACAGGGTGCCCAGAGCAGCTGGGGCTGCCCCTGCATCCCTGCAGTGGCCAAGGCCGGGCTGGACAGGGCTTGCAGCAGCCTGGGACACTGGAAGGTGGCCCTGCCATGGCAGGAGGTTGGAATGGGATGGGCTATTATGTTCCTCCCAGCTCAAATCAGTCTAGGACTCCATGAAATGTCTTTGGTCTTGCAGAAATTAGAATTTCCTAATACGATAAAAATGCTGAATTTTGATGTTCATTAATAATTCATTACTAGGTAGCAAAGAAAAGAAATGTTAATATGCATCATTTACTTGTTTTTCCATTTAAGATGGGTCTTTATCTTGCTTCAGAGCACTGAGATGCAATGAGAGAGGGGGTGCTTTGGGAGGTCACCTTAAGAGGGCCCAGAAAGATAATCAGAGGAAACTTTAAAAACCAGAATGCATTTTGAGTTTCAAAATGGTTCTTGTGGTATCAAGATTGTCTACCCAAAGTCAGCACAGCTTATGAAGTAGGCTCTTAATGAAGCTTTTGGTATTTGGCCTGGGGATAGCTAATAAGGATGATGTTTTATTAGTCACAACATTGTGTCCATTGACTTTGATTTGAAGCCCAAAAATCAGCTAAGTCTGCTGAATTTTTGGTTCTCAAAACTGGAGAGCAAATCACTGCTAAGTGCTTTAAAAAGTGAAAACCTGAGGAAATGAAAGGATGAGTTTTGGGAGCTCCTTGTGCTTGAGGCTGCAGTTCTGCATTGTCACTCCAGGTTCTGCAGGCATGGAATTCAGGAATAGAAGAGTAAACTACAAAAGGAATACTGTAAACCCCTCCAAAATTGCAAACCAATCACATTATGTGTTGGGGTCAGAGGCCCAAAAAATAGTCCTTTATCTGTGGTGCCTGGCTCTGACACGCAGGAGAGCACTGAGTTTGGCATAACACTATGGACACAGCTTTTAAAGTTAAGCAGAGAATCTAATGGTGCTGGTGACTAAGTTAGAGTTTTCTTAAGTCTCTGGGTGAGAAAGTTAGAATTTAGGGCTTAAGCTATATTAGTGAATAAGAGAAAACATGAAGGATTTAGGGCATTGTTACTTTCTCTTTCTTCTTCCTTCTCCATCTTCTTCCTCTGATGGTTTTTGGATAATAATGAGTGATTGGATAAAGAAATCTGCAGTGCAGCACACAGGTGTCAGGTCACTGGGTCACTAAGAAAAATAATTCACTTGTCATTTGTTAATTGGATAAATAGACACATAAAAGACCTAGGAGAGATTCTTTGTTCTCCATTTTTGCACCTCTTTATCTTAGTGTATGTAGCTCCTTGTACTTGAGGGAAGAATAAACAACTGAGCCCGAACACGAGAAAACAGCCTCTCTCCCGTCAATCTCAGTCCTGGGGAAAAAGTATCCAGTCACCAGTGTCACCATGACAATTAATCAATGCTGTTTGGAAGGTGTAGTAGAAGTGTAGTATTTTGGTTTGGTTGCCAGTGCTACCAAGAGCTGTTTGCCTTTGTTCTGAGTGATACCAGCGTAATACCAATTTGACAAATGCTTCTGTAATCATTGCCAAAATATTATTGAGCTTTTGTCACGGTTTAGAAGTAGCTTTTAGCTTTATGAGTGTCATTAGCATATGCATGGAAAGGTTTGTTACTGGGGATCTGTCATCCACCATGCTTGAGGATTTGAGTGGCTGCTTGTAGTGTATGACTGCATGCACTGATGTCACCTGTGCTCTTTTTTTCTTCTGTTTGGGATGCTGTCTGCAGAACAAGGAGAACAAACTTCTGAATGAGCAGCTGTCCATGCTGACATCAGCCCACTCCTCCGAGGTGGAGAAGCTGAAGAAGGAGCTGCAGCAGTACCAGCAGACCCAGCAGGGTGATGGCAACCAGCTCCTCAGCCTGCAGGAGGAGATGGAGCGGCTGCGGATGGAGCTGGAGAGGGCTCACGGGGAGAGGGAGGTCATGGAGGACAGCCACAGCAAGGAGAGGGACCTGCTGAGGAAGGTACGTCTGTCCGTCTGTCTGCCTCAGGTTGTCTCCTCAGGTGGCTGTACTGGTGAAAGCTCTCACTTCACCACTCTGAAGGGGAGTGTCTGTTCTTTGATTATTATTTCTGTTGCTGAATCCCGCTAGGATTTACCTTTAGCCAGCTCGTGGGGCAGCATGGACAGGTGGACATCCCTGCTGGAGCAGTGGCTGCCTTGTGGAAACCCCACCCTGATACCTTTTGTGTTGCCAACCACAAGGAAACACCCCAAACCCATCTGGAAATCAGGATGCCTATTAACCATGAATATCATGGAATCAAACAGTTGTAAAGGTTGAAAAAGACCTTTAAAATCACCAAGTCCAACCATGAGCCCAGCACCACTGTATTCAGCATTAAACCATGTCCTCAAGTGCCACATCCATGTGATTTTTGAACACTTCCAGGGCTGGTGACTCCTCCAGTGCCCTGAGCAGTTTGTTCCAATGCTTTTCAAGTCTTTCAGTGAAAAAATTTTTGCTAATATCCAATTTAAACCTGCCCTGGCACAACTTGAAGCTGCTTTTCTTGTCCTAAGACTCATACCTATGCCAGAGCTTCATGTGTATACAGTGATTCCTCATGGTGTGCAATGCAAATTACTGGAGAGAGCTGTCACAGATGCTGCAAATATTAGGAAGATGTAAATATTTCTCATCTCAGCCTGTGATGGGACACAGGGTTCAGTTTCTGACATGGCTGGTGTTGTAGGTACTGACAGAGTAAGACCTGTGTGTGTGTTGACTTCTCTCCCTGAGGAGAGGCACTGCTCTAGCACCAGCTGCTGGCTGTTATGGGCTTTTATAGGGTTTGGAGCTGGGATATACACAAAATAGATTTATTTTTATTTCCTCCTTCGTCCAAACCCTCAGAATATCCTGGTTTGGATGGGAACCACAAGGACAATCAAGTGCATCTCCTGTGCCTGTTTTTTTGGGGTGGAACTAGTCCAACACTGCCACCATTGTACAAGAAGGCATTCTAGTGGGAGAAAGAGACTTCAGAGTGTAGAGCTTGTTTTGCAAATAGCAAAGATGGACCTTTTGCTTTGCATTTCTTTGCTGGTCAGATCAATTCTGAGTAACACCCGTTCTCTTAACCTGAGGCACTGAGATGAGACCTCAGTTTCCTTCTGCTAATGCTGGTGGCTGCTCAAGTTAAATCCATGATACCTCTTCTGCACCGGATTGAATCTTTGATCATGCTAATGGAAAGAATTTAGGGCTTTTCTACTCAGTAAATTGCAAAGAAAAAGCTGTTTTGCAGCTGTTATTCTAACAGTACTTGGTGTGTGACAACCTGAAGATGAGTCACTTTTGGAAATTAAAAAAAAAAGAAAAAAGAAAAAAAAAAGAATCTAGAATTAGCTGTGTTATTATTACAGTGGAAGAATGCCCTTTTGAGGCTCTTCTAGTGCACTTCACACAGCACCACTGCTGTGGCCAACCTTCCCTTGAGGCTTTTTCCTCAGGTGCTGTGTTTGGCTGAGAAGCTGTGGTGAAGGACTGTGGTCAGGGTGATTTACCCTGAACCTCTGGCACGACTAAAATGTACTTTTGGGTGTGCTTCTCAAAGAGGTGAACAGTCTGTACACTCGCTGTCCTTGGCTGGACCAAGAGAGCTGACAGGTGATCAGTTCCTCCACTCCTTGCACCTGTGGTGCACCCACACAGGTGCATGTGAAACCAGTGATTTCCTTTTAAAATTACAAGATTCTATTGCAGAGCAGGGCTCTGTTCATTAGCTGTTTGCAGCACAGGCTTTTAAGGCCTAGAAGGATGATTGGTTTTAAAGGTGATGCAGCTGGGGATAAAACGTGTCTGTTCTTCATTGCAAATCCCCTTTGAGCGCTTGGAGGGCAGGTTGGCTTAATCACTGAAGAAATGCTTTTAAAAAGCATGAAAACAAAGCAGCAGCTTTCCCTTGTTGTAAAAGTGCCTGCAGCAGAGCAAATACTGTGCATTTCACCATGAAAATAGTTTAATTACAAAACATTACTTAATGAACAGTGCAGACTCCCATTTCTGGCATTACCTTTCCATTGCTCCCTTCAGTTCCTTGTAAGTGGGAAGATGGAGAGGACCCATTTCCTTCCTGAAAATAGTAATTTAGCCAGAACGCTTCCCAAGAAAAATTCTGGGAAGAGATTTTTGAGTTGTTCTAATATCTGCTAGAAGCAGTTTTCACCTGCGATATCAAGATGACACCATAGGCATGGTTGTAGTGGGACAGATTCCCAAAGACATCTCTGAGTGAGACTGAGATGAGCCTTTATTTTTTCTGCAGCTCCTGCAAATCCATGTCAGTTATGATTTAGTTTCTGAAAAAAAGTCCTTTAATCTCTTCATCATAGCTCTCTCCAAGTCCTTAATTTTAGAATAAGTCTTCTTATTTAGTTTTGTGATAAAGTTTGAAACATCTGTTGGGTAAGTACCAACAGCTCTTTCTAGGGCTTTTGGTAGCACCTAATCTTCTTGCTTGGTGAGCTAGGATAATTCACAGCCTGACCAGGAATTTCATTAGGAAAGTGCCAAATGCCACCATCCTCTCCTTCCAAGACTGGGGGAGGATGTGAGGGAGATCCCATGAGCAGGTTGTTCCAGGGTAACACTTAGATAAGAGCTGCAGCCATCACTGCTGCTCAGCATCTTCCACAGTAATCTTTTGAAGCAGGTGCTGTTGCATTTGAAACACCTCCAAAGGTCTGTTTCCTCTGGAAAGGTAAGCAGGAGGTACAAAAGTTGTCCATGTAGGTATCAGGGGATGGAGGTGTTGCTGCTTGGCCATTTTGTGACCTGCTCCCTTTGCCTCTCCCCTTGTGTAGTGGACCGTTCATGTTCCCACTGGGCTGGGTTACGCACAGGTTTTGGACTCTGGGCTTGTTCCTATTTCATGTAGAAACAGGAACGCAGAAAATAAATTCAGTGGCTCAAGAGGATAGCTTAAAAACACCCGTACCCAATCTGGATTAGAAATTTTAAAATCTGGGAATAATTGTTGTGGATTCTGTTAAGTCTTGCTCTTCCAAATATCCTCTCAGCACAGTTGAGAATATTCAAGATTTTAGTCCAGTTTTGTTTTCCAGCCATCATAGCTTTGGGCAAAGAATTCCTTATCAGCACCCAATAAAAAGCATTAGTAAAATAATCTTACTGCCTTTAATCTTTTCCTGATGGGACAGACAAATAGAGCTCCTTGCTCTCCCATTGCAGCACAGGTTTTCCATCCATTCCATCACTCCTGTGTCTGTTTTCCACTCTTTTAAGAGTTCTTTCTACCTTGAAGATGCTAGTGTAGGCAGATGTGATTTATGGTGCAAGAGTGCAGTTTGTTTTGGTACAGAATATTAAATTCTTGGCTCACTTCACAGCATTTAAAACACCAGTAGCTGTGTGTGCTTAAATTGTGGGGTTTTTCACTTTCTAGTTGTACATCCAGACTCCAGCTTTCTAGGAGAGATGCAGACAGATGTAATGCAGACAGCTGGAGCAAATTATCAGGGGGAGTAACAAGTGGGGAGGTTTTTCAGCCTGTGCATGGAACAGGACTGATTTAGTTGTGACTTACAAGAAAATATTCACCGTGCTTTAGTCCTCACCATTAGTATGTATCTGGCATAGCCAGTGCTGGATAAAATGCCTTAATTTGAACATGCTTGTGTGAAAGACTGAAATCTGTGTTAGGAATGCATGCCAGCTGGGTTGCCTATAAATTTAATCCAGTGGTGACAGAAAAATTATTACTCTTGGGCTTTGAAAACTCTCATTATTGTGTTTACAGTGTTGTTTATAGTTGATACCTTGAGATCCTTCTGCTGTGTGTAGCCATTTCCTAAGCAGGGGCTATGGGAAGTGAAGGAGCAGGCATAGGGAATGACACGTGCTGGGATGATGTGTGTCCTCCCCCCTGACAGCAGCAGAATCATCCTGCTTAGCTGTGGCAGCACATTTCACTTGACAATATGATAGTTGTGTGTTTTGAGATAACGCTGTTGAATGCACCAGAATTCAGGAAGCTGAATAATGTTCCAGGATTGGTTGCTGTCAGCATCAGTCCAGCCTTGCAGTTGTGACAAGTGAAAATAGCGTCTTTCAGGACCTAGTTCCTGTTCTCATTATTTTTTATGAGGCGATTGTTGTTGTTAATAATTGCTAAATATGCTGCTGTTGTATTGCCAAGGGCCCTGGTACATGTCATTCCTCACTGTACCAGAGGTTCTGTAGTTGTGGGAAGCACTGAAGTGATTCACCATGCTGCACGGATCGGGTACAATAAAGTTAAAAAAGCCTGACCTATTCACTCAGCTCACATTCACTGTGTCCATCTCAGCTCCTGAAGTGCTGTGTCTCTGGGAACAATCAGCAGATTTATTTCCCCAGCAGCTGTGGCTTGGTGCTGTGACTTGAAGACAATGATGAAGCCCATTGAGATGTAAAAATAAACCTCTGATTTGATGACCTGATCACTTGCAAAGGCTTCACTCCTGCAGATCGTGGCCACCAAGTCCAGCTGCTCAGTATTTTGTAAGATTCTGCTGAAAAGGTTGATTTAAGGGAGAAATGCACTCAGGAAAGGGAAAGTTATTCTCTCTTGTAGCAGTGCATTTCTTCTGTGCTTCTGCTATTGGTGTACAGAGGATAAGTGGCAAAGCACAAGGGAACAGATCTTTTAAAGAGCAAAGAGAGGCTGAACAAAGCCCTGTGTCTCCTGCCAGGTGAAATTAATCCCTGCAGGAGCTCTGCCCTGCAGCCAGCAGTAACTCTCTGCCTTGTTCCGTAGCGCATCTCTGACCTGGAAGAAGAAAACACTCTCCTGAAGCAGGAAAAAGAGGAGCTGAACAGCAGGATTCTCTGTCAATCTGAAGGTAGGAAAAACTGCCTGTAGCATCACCATGCCTCCCTTAGACAAGGGCTCAATCTTTTCCCCAAAGCTCGTTTTCCCTGCCTTGAAAAGTGCAACTTTTCCCATGACCTGTTCCTGGTGCCTTTTGTCTCTATTTTGTTGTGCAGGTCGTTCTGTTCATGCTGTCCTACTGGTGGGTGATAAGCCAGAAGCCAGTTTAATTGGTGAAGTACGGAATAAAGTACCTAGCAAGGCTTTTTTAGTTCAGTTATGTTAAAGTATTTCATGCAGATGGTGTGGGAGGCAGTGAAGCTGATGGAGCAGGGAATAGCTGTGTCCCAAGAATGATTAATAAAGGATCCAAGGGGCAGCAAAATTCACATTTTTGAGCTGTGACAAAGAATTTCTCTAGTGTGACACGAGCCTGTGAGTGTTTTTTAAAAGCAGAGACTTAGCTGACAAGTCATACATAGGGGGAGCAACCTGGAAAATCCCATTTCACAAAAGGGACTCTCATGCATGTATTGAGCTTTTCTATTTTTTGTCATCCTTTTCAGCTTTGATTTTGCAGCAGGGTTTACAAAGATCATCATGATGTGGATGTAACTATCACTGCTCTGTGGTACTAGTGAAGAGCCTTTTGCTCCTAGCCTAATACAAAATAAATGAATGAAGATAACATAGTAAGAAGAAACTTGCTGCAAATATTTATTTATCCCTTAAAGGATGCTTTTGGAGCATCTAAGATGGGAGAAATGAAGTGGAAGAAGTTGGTTTGTTGTTCACCCATTTAAAACAACACACAGTCTACATTTGCCTGGTTCCTCAGGAAGAGGAGGGACTGGGTTCGCTTCCAGAGGGCAGTTTTTAACAAACAACTTAATTTCTTTGGATATAAGGTTCTTTGAACCCCCACAGTCTTGCCATGGTAAATCTTTGATGATGACATGAGGAAAAGCTGCTGTAGTTGATTTGCTCCTATGCCAAAGCTGCTGGTGGGAAACAGGCAGGGAAGTTTTTACATGCACGAATGTATTTTCAACATGAGTGTATTTCTGTACTGTGCTGGCCTTTTCTTAAGTGGATTTATGGGAGCTGGAGCTGCCACAGTTAAATGATGGTTTGTAGGTGCTGGAGACTTCTCTAACTCAAGGCAAAGACTGCCCTGCAAGTTGAAGAGCTCAAGCTGTTTCAAATGCTGAGGAAACAAATACAGATTATAATAGTCTCTAAATACTAGTGAATGCTTACATGTATTTTAAAGGCTTTTGGCAGAGAGTATTTTGTTCATTACTCGTTTTTGTTGTTATTATTTTGTGTTTGTTGTTCCATACGTTTACAAGAAGCTTGCTTCTGAGCTAAAGTTCATAATTTTATTTTTTTTTCCCCTTCCTATTTTAAAGATGAATTTGCACGAAACACAGCTGAAGAAAATATCCAAATGAAGAAAGAGCTGGAAGAAGAGAGGTCTCGTTATCAGAACCTGGTAAAAGAGTATGCAAGTCTGGAGCAGAGATATGACAACTTGAGGGATGAAATGACTATTATTAAGGTAATGAAACTGGAATTATCCCTATTTCCTTGTGCCCTGGACCTGATGTTGGTGCCTGGATAACGTGACTCACTCACCTCCAAAACATTTAATAGAGCTGCCATTAGTGGGCAGTTTGTGCTTGATAGTTCTAAGAATACCTCTTGGGAGTGGAGCCAAACCGTTTGTGTGCCTTGAAAAAGGAGCTTGGTATTCCATGCTTCTCTGTCAAATGCTTAGAGATGTCTGTAAATCTCAAGAAAAGCTGGATCATGCTTGTTCTTGTTTTGCTTTTGTGTCAGTGATGTTCACGTGTAGGTGTTGGGCTAAAAAAAGAAATAAAAAAAAAACTTCCAGCAATACTGACTTCAGAATTTCAAAACCCAAAGTCTTTAGGTTCAGCATTGCTAAAATGTTCAAAAAAACGTTGAAAATCAGAGTGGATTTGATGGAAAGCTGAATGTGTAGAGTCCTGGAGGGTGCTGTCAGCCCCACAACCTTGAGCTCAGATTTGCATGTTCACACTTACCAGGCATCTGGTGTCATAAAGAGTCCTTAATTCATGCAGAATTTTTAAACTGAGCTTCTATGTCACTTTTGCACTTTGAAGTGTTAGTATGCATTTTAAGGGTAGGGCATAAAAACTTAGAACATGCAATTCTCTATAAAATAAGCGTATACTCACATATTTGCTCCAAAGAAGGAACACTTCGAGAGGAACCCTTTAACATTGGGTGCTTTAAGTGTCTGCATAATTTCTTGGCAGCAAACACCAGGGCACAGGAGAAACCCATCCAACCAGAGCAGCTTGGAGTCTGATTCCAATAACCCATCCATCTGCACATCTGAGATCGGGGACACCGAGGATGTGATACAGCAGGTGGAGGTACAGTAACTCAGGAGGGAGGGCAGGGGAGCCCAGCTCTGGGGGTGATGATGTGGGGTTTGCAGCACAGAGGGGCAGTGCAGTTTGGGCAGTGAGGTGTGATGGATAAAACTGATTCCATGCATCATTAATTGTGTGAGAGGGACTGCAGTGCTGTGGTGTTCTGGTAAACTCTACTTTTTTGCAGCATCAGGGCTCTAAAAATAATAAAGTGCTGTCTTTGGGCCATACCAGTTTAAAGACTGATGAGAATTCATCACAGCTGTTTCACCCAGCGCTGATGGATCATGACTATACCACGATCCTTCTCCGCAAGGACACCAGAATTCATTGCCCTCTTGCCCCGAGAATTTTCTTTCCCATGCATCTTCACAGATGCTTTGCTGGCCAGCACAGCCCCTGTAATCAAATCAACAGTCTCCTAATGCAGGAAAAAGCAGCACAATTTATTCCTTGGTATCAAGAATCCTGTGGAAAAGGTAAATATGTTTTTTACTTACATCAGACAGAATAGGCTGCTTTTTAAAGTCAATTTCTGACTCGAGAGCACTTGTTTGGTGATTAATGTTCCTAGGGTCTGCCACCCCCTGGCAAGACCATACCTTGTGTACCAATACCATGCCTGCAGAAACCCACAATTCCCTTTGCTGTGTTACATTGTTTTAGTATTTCTGAACTGCTCTGAAAACATTTTCTGTTTTGAATACAATCAGCATTGACAATGCTTTGATATAAAATATTCCAGGCAAAGGCAGTTAAAAACCCCCAACAAATAAACACTTGAGTAGAAGGGACCCAGGAGGGCATTTTTGATGTTCTGAGCCCCCATCACCTATTGTGCTGTTAAGCATTCAGTAATTTATTAAAACAAGTCAGGTATTTTACTGGCATTCAAAATCGGTGTTTAAAATGTGGATTTGCTCTTTGGAAGTACATGCATTTCTTGGGATGCTCATGTTCCTGGCTGTGGCTGATGTAGAGTCAGGGTGCATCTGGCACTGTGCACGGTGAGAAAACTTGACACTGAGGTCTTTTCTTTTTTTCCCCTCCTTCCTGTTTTTCTCTAGGAGATTGGGATGGAGAAGGCAGCCATGGACATGACCCTCTTCCTAAAGCTGCAGAAGCGAGTGAGGGAGCTCGAGCTGGAGAGGAGGAAGCTGCAAGCCCAGCTGGAGAAAAAGGAGCAAGAGATCAAGAAATCCCAGGCAAGAGGCATCTTTTCATGGATGATGACTAAATTTCATATTTATAACTGGCTTTCCTTGATTGCCCGTGGCCACATGATGTAGGAATTTAGCTTTGAGAGTGACAAGTTCAACATAAGAGGCTACAAATCCATCTGGAAAAGAGAGATAAACTTTTTTTTTCAACTAGACACAATTAGACAGGAGAACTACTTTATTTATTTGTTTAAACCCACTGGTTATAACATATTTAGGGCAATTATCTTAAGCCTCTTGAAAGCAATGAAATGTAGAATCAATTCTGGCATATGTTATTCCACCAACACTGACCCTGTGTCTTACATGTAGCCCCCTACAACCATCCCTTTTGGATGATTTCTTTTTATTCAAGCATTTCTTTGCTGTTCTAGCTTCACCCCACCCAGCAGTGTGTGGAGTGAGCTGAAAAGCACTTCACACATATATCAGTAAGGCTGGTGGCCTCAGTTTGGTTCTATTAAATTAGCACATTCTGATCAGGTTTTTTTCCTCAGTAATGATCATAGAGAGAAATACAGGTTAAAAGCAGTGTAGTAAATGAGAAATATCAGGATAGCTGTTAGGAGAATGGGTTCTTAATTTCTGTTGCGAGGCAGGGATATTCTTTTGCTGCATTCTTCCTATCTTGTGGAAAAAACCCAAAACAAACAAAAACAAATTTCCTGAATTTGAGTTGCTTGCTTGGAAGGAAATTAAAAACATGTATATTAAAAAAATTAAGGTTTCTAACAGCCCAGTGGTCACTCTAGGAACAGGAGTCCCTAAGTCTGAAAACACAGCTTTCTAGGTTGTGGAAAAAACTGACTTCTGGGACAGGGGTTTTAATTGCAGGCCTCGTATTTATTTCTGGGGCTTCTGTTGCTTTGTTTGGGAATTATTTTCATTATTACTCTCCAGTGTGATATCAGTGTACCTTTGAAGAAATGCAGTAGGAGACTCAACAAAATCATCACCAGTAATTATTTACTTGCTTCACTAGCTGTTGTTATTGATCACCCCTAGCAATTTGCTGGAAACACATGAAACAGGAGACTTCCCCAGCCTCTCATTCCTGCTGCAGGAGGATTAAAAATCTGTTTTCCAACTGCTGTGTTGAGGATTGTTCCCTTAATGACTGTCATTGTTTGAAAGCTGCAGCGAGGCACAGTTATCAAGATATTAATGAGAGATAAAACCTGTTTCTCCTGGAGTGTCCTCTCCCCCTCTAGTGTTGCTGGGATGCTCTCTGATGGCAATTAATGACATTATTATGGCTGAACTGGCCAGCAGGGCTGAATGCTGATGGAGATGTGCCCAGCTACCCTGTGTTGCATGCCTGTTCCTCTGCCTGCTCCTAGTACAAATTTACCTCTCTAATCTTCACAGGTAATCGAAACAAAGACTGAAGTATCTTCAGAACATGAAGATTTTGCATACAACAGCCTGAAGGTGAGTGAGAGGCTTCTACTTAGTAGTGCAACCTATTGCATGGCTCCAGAAGCTCAAACAAATGGTGTGAACATGCTAATAATCCAAAACCTGCTGTAATCTGGTAGAGAGGGCAGTTGGAAAGCTGTAGCTCCCCGTCAGCTCCTGGGCCAGGATTGGGCTCACAGATGTTTCTCTCTGAAGCAACATCTGCTCTCTGCTGATCTGCCTGTCTCTGAGTCATCTGTGGAGGTAATGAACCCACCATGGTGAAGGGGGTTTTTTCCATGGCAGGTATTCCCTCTGGGACTTTGTTGGGCTCCCTTTGAAAGGGCACAGCAGGTTTCAGCAGTCTGCTTTGCAGTAGGTGTAAATTCTTACGGGTGTTTCTTGTTCCAGGCTCCACCTCTGCTTCTTACCCACCTTCTGTGCTGTCCCAAGGTACCACTCAGGTCAAACCCAGATAAGTCTGTGGTGTGAATTGCAATAATAGCCTCCATCTCCCAGCAGAAGTGCTGGCTGCCCACAGTCATCCTGTTTTTTCTCAGGCTTTAAATCCTGGCAGCTTCTGTCCCCATCACTTTCTCCCTGTGACAGTCAGAGCAACTGATGCCTCCTGGGCTCCCGTTGTGGTGTCTGTGGGTTCTATCCTCCTGCTCTAAATGTATTCAAACACTCCTGGCCTTGACTGTTTTAGACCAATTCTTATGTCCTGCTTATCCTCAGAAAACCAGTTCCTAGCATAAAGTTAAATACATTTTTTATGCTGTTGTTTTTTTTCAGTGCAGACCTATCTTTCCAATGTTCCTTCTCTCCCTATCCCCTTAACAAATACTGCAGTGCAACTGGGAAGTCCAGAGGAACATATGTTTTCCTGAATAACATGATGCTAAACCATCTGTCAGTAGTAATACCAGTTTTTGCTTCTGCATCATCTCCTCAGAAAGATGCAAAAAAAAAAGCAGAAATTAGAGATGGAAAGGATGTCCAATCCCCACTAAGCTCTTATCTCTAGCAGTAGATTTTTATGACACTTGATCAATCCCGTTTTATTTTCCTAGCATGGTATTGGTGTAGCTCTGGCTAAATGTGCTGTTTGTGATGGAGGGGAAACCCCCCTGAATTTCCTGAGTATTTCTGCATAGCCCCTTGGAGAAGCATGGCAAGGTCACTGCCCAAGCATCTTCCAGTTGGTTAAACATCCTTGTGAAAGGTTTACGTTTCTTGACCTTGTAAATCAAAGTGGAGTAGCAGTTTAGAAGGGAAAACCCAGCAGATGAGAACCACCACCACCACCTTAAATGTCTTCTGGAGTTCCAACTTCTGTGTGAGTTCACAAACTGTGTTTTCTTCAAGGTGAACTTCTGGAAGTTCAGAGTGGACATACTAATTTTGGTTTTTCCTACTCTCTGCATACTAACATGCTAGCGTTCATACTACATATCTAACAAACTTTAAAATACAATTTAAATGTTAATATAATTTCATAAGAATAGGTGGCATGTGTTGCTAAAAATGCAGGGTTCTTTAAAGTTTAGTCCAAAACAGGTGGAAAATGAACCTGCAGGGATTTCACATTCCCTGTAGGAGTGTTTACCTGAGAAGGACTACTGAAAAAGAAAGAGACAGATACAGCTCCCTGCTGTTCTCCCCACATCTGAACCTAGGACACAGTCTGAAGTCTCTGTCTGCAATGCAGGAGTGACTTACTGCTGATTTTGAGGGCTTTTCTTCCCCGCCTTCCCCTTGACATCTGCTTCCATGGCCATGACAAAGCTATTCCTCTCTTCTCTTTCTCCTGCTAATTTGTATCTCAAATATTTGTACTTTCTCTGGCTCCATTAAGAGTTTCTTGTGAATATATTTATTTTTCATTTTTACCAACTTAAAAAGACTTTATCTTGGGGAAATAGTCTGAGGTTCCTAAAAGCTCACACACAGGACAGTCCTTCTGTGGATGCTCTTGAGTGGCTTGTTGAGGTACCAGTTAGTCATCCATGGATAAGGACATGGACCAGGCTGCTCCCACTCCCAGGGATCCAGGGGTAGCCACAGCTTCTCTGTGCACCCTGTGCCAGTGCCTCCCCAGCCTCACAGCCAGGAATTTTTTCCTCCTTTCTGATCTAAACATTATCTATTTCAGTTTGGACAAGATGAACTTTAAGGTCCCTTCCAACTCAAACTATTTCTGCTGCTCTAAGATTCCATACTTTTGTGTCCCATTTCAGACATTTTTGTCACTCACAGCCCCTCAAGGAGGACAATACGTGTTGTGGGTGTTCTGGGATGGCTGTGCAGGTTTGGTGTCTGCAGCCAGCACATGGTCTGGTAATTCACAGGTGTCTGCTGTCCTCCAGCTTGGTGTCTTGGTGTAATTATTACTGTAATTATTACTGCCACAACACCCATGATGGCAGGAGGTTGCCTTTGGAATTAGCATCTGGTGGGGAGTCTGTTGTTGATGCAGATTCTGAAGGAGGGAAGATGAACAATGTTCCATTAGAGAGGCTCATCTGGCTTTTCAGTTTTGTAAGGCTGAAAAGAAATGTGTGAAATTAAATGAATTTACAAGCAGAAGTTACCTGTCCTTCCTAATGGGTAAATACGTTTCTCAGAAGCTGCTGTCCCAAAATACACCCAGCCAGATGTTTGGTTAATCATTATCCAGGAATGCAAAACAGGGAGATATGTCCCTTAGACATGCCAGTGAGAAATGCATTTTCATTGTTTTTTCAAGCTGGGAAAGTGGCAGTGGGAATGAAAACATGGAGAAGCCCTTGCTCTGACTCCATGTTTCTGAGCAACCTCTTCTAGTGGAAGCTGTGCCTGCAGCTGGACTAGATGGCCTTTAAAAATCCTTCCTAGCTCACACATTCTAGGATTCCAAGCAGGAGCACGATGCATAAGTCAGCTTCTCACTCGTCGCATAGCTGGCATGTTTGTTTCATCCCTTAGACTTGGCAGCTCATCACAAAATGACCTGCATGGAGGATTTTGTTTTCTTTTCCTGCAGAATGCCAGAAAAGAAGAGAGGGGGCAAAATCCTGGCATGGCAGTGCTAACCTCTGACTTAGGCAGGCTCAACTTCCCCCAGCAGTGCTCTGTAAGCCCTTTGCTAAAGAGTGAAGCTATTTTTGTCACTATTAGTGCTCGAGTACCCCTGCCAGAGCTCTTTAACTGCATATGTTGGAACAAGTGTGAGTTCAAGTTCAATGCATTCTGATTGTAAAATTTTTTGGTAAAATTTATTTGTCAGATATTTTGTCAAATAAATCAGCATGACTGGACTACACTGACAAAAGATAATTTTCACTTTGCCAGTAGAAATCTCTTTCCACATCCATAGCATTTTATTTTAGTTTCTGATCTTCTGGGGCGTGTGCTGAAGCAAGAAGGATGTATGAGCTGAGGACAGAAGGTGTTTTAACACTGCTCCATGAAATCCACAAAGAAAGGATTAGGGAATTGTCACTGTCAGACACGAAATGATTCACACAGGTGCAGCTCGAAGTGTGATGAAAGAAGAAGAAAGTTTATTCTGTTTTTTTCAGTATTTATAGATTTCTGACAATGACCAGGGATTGGATAGTCAGGTCGCTACTTTCCCGACCGCACTGGCTGTGAGAGATGTCCATCAAAAGGCATATCTTTAATGGAATGTATAAACGTCTATGTTTATAGCTACTTTCCTGGGAAAGTGGCTAGAAATTTTGAAAACAATACGGAAAGACCTGTTTCTCAGGGCGACAGGGAATAGATTTAAATGTAAACTTTGAAAAGAGTGTATGGAAGGGGCTGTTGGATCAGGGTTATTGGTTATCACTTTCTTTCCTGGCCTTCCTGGCTTTGTTTCTAACCAGAGCAGAGCTTGGAATGACCAGTCCTTGGAGATAGCAGTGTGGCTGACCCATTATAAAAAAGAGAGGGAGAAAGGGATACAAAGTGGAGGAGGAGGAAGGTTAAGAAAAAGGAAAGCAGAGCTTTTACGCAGCAAATAACCACAGAAGAGTTATTTTAGTAGAAAAGCAAGTAACTGCTTTCATGATCAGTGAGGGGTGATGCTTCTCCACGGAGCAGGAAGAGTTAAACCCAGTTTGATATCGATTTCCACCATGCACACACTTCCAGCTCCTGCTTTAAACACCAGTTACAGAAAAGCCCACGTCTCATATACTCCCTCTGCCATGGATAATGTGGAGGAATCGTTGGATCTAAGGCGTTTCTCATCCTTTCGGTTTTTTCATGACAGATGGTATAAAGTACCTGAATATGCCACATTACTGATGTTGTTTGTTCAGCTAGGAGCATGCTGCCCAGATGCCAGATCAGCTATTCTGTTCACACCTCTGCTGTGATAAGCCATGCTATTTATAATTTGTAAGGATTTATAATTACAACACCCGTTTCCTATGGAAATGGGGTTTACACAGCTGTGCTAGCTGCACACTGTGTAAATTGTATAAATTGCCCCCCATCCCCCCCCAGCCATTTTTGGATTCATTAGCTTGACTCAGCCCAAGCTGATAGTGAAGCAGATATCCCGGAGATAAGAGTGGTTGTGAAAGGAAGCTGTGGAAAGGTGCAGTAAGCAGCAGGGAGGTGAGGCATGTGGGTGACAGTAGGGAATGATCTTGTGCTGTTGTAGACCCTGGAGAATCCACATGGGTGGGGGTTGGTCCTTAGGAGAGAGCTGACCCCACATCAGACGGCAGGCTTTGTCAGCTCACACGCAGGGCTGTTGGTTTGTGCCATGTTGGGGTGCCAGGGAGCGTGGGGACGGGAGGGAGCAGGCCTGGGTGCCACCATGCAGCAGCCAGAGGTGGATCATGCAAAGGAAAGGTGGGTTGCTCTGAGCAGGAGTCCCACCCAATCTGTGCCCCACAGCAAGGACTGGTGGTTTTTAAGCTTGAGGTGAGCAGATTTAGATGGGATATTGGGAAAAAGGTCTTGGCTGTGAGGGTGGTGAGGCTCTGGCACAGGTTTCCCAGAAAATCTGCCCCTGGATCCCTGGGAGTGCTCCAGGTCATGTTGGACAGGGCTAGGAGCAACCTGGGACAGTGGAAGGTGTCCCTGCCCAAGGCAGGGGGTGAGAAATGGATGAGCTTTAAGATCCCTCCCAACCCAAACCATTCCATGGTTCTGTGACTGTACCATGTGCACAGCAAAGCTGCTCTTGACGCAGCAAGGATTCTCCAGGTGGGTTTTGGGTGGTGGCAAAGAGCTGCCAAAGATTGCATTGCCACCTGCAAACAAAGCTTTGTGGTGACAGGCCAAAATGAAAGTTGTTTGAGCTGCCAGAGTTCTATTCTTCTGTCTTCTGGTGCCATGCAAAAGCAAATAAGCCCTTCAGTTGTCTCAACAAAGATTTTGTTACTCAGGAGAATCAGTTGGCATCAGACTAGCACAGTGTTGGCCCTGCCTGTCAAACGCCAGTGGCTGAGGAGACAGCAGGGTGAGGAAATCCTCCTGCTATAAACACTGCACTGGGGTGGGGGAATTACAAAGTGTATGAGAATAGAAGAGGGAACTCACAGACCCATGGTTCACCCTGAGGGGGATACCTGCCATTATGATGGTTTGTGCAAATCAGCATCTTCCAGCTAATCTAATGAATATGAAAGGTGAGCTGAATGTTGTGGGGGTTGTGTGATTTATTGATTCAGAAGGAAAAGCGGTGGAGGAGAAAAGAGCATGTTTAGCTTCTTTAACAACCTGCTTTTGTGTTTAGAAATATTTTCAACAAATAAGAAATACCCTGGGTCACTCTGTAGTGTTGTTACTAAATAGCAACAGGCTGCTGACTAAAGCAAAAACCTTTGCTGAACCACAGATAGCTGGGCTGGCAGCAAAACCCAAATCCTGGCTTGCATTGATCTGTAATCATCGATAATTGAGTCACCCTAGAGGCATCTCAGAACGGGAAGAGGCACCACAGGGCAGTTTATCCAAAATGCTTAATGGCTGGATGTTTTCCAGAGGCAAGAGCTGGAGTCAGAGAACAAGAAGCTGAAAAATGAGCTCAACGAGCTGAGGAAGGCCATAGCAGACCATGCCATGCAGAACAACTCCTCCAACGATGTGCAGGACAGCTACAACCTCCTTCTGAACCAGCTGAAATCGGCCAACGAGGAGCTGGAGGTGCGCAAGGAGGAGGTGCTGATCCTCAGGTCACAGATCATGAAGGCAGCCCAGCAGAAGGAGACGGGGGAAAACATGGTAAAGGAGAGGGTAATGGATTTTCTTTTCCTTCTTCCCCTCTGTTGGTGGCTGCCTGAGCAATGCCATTTCTGCTCTGGTGGGCAGGATGGCACAGGGAGGTCGTGCAGGGTTGTGCAGGGGTACAGGAGGTCCTGCCTGGGGATGAGATGCAGTCCCTGGCATTTCAGACAGCCCAGGATTATCTGTGCCATGGTACTTCCAGAGGGTGCTTACCTCCATACCTGAGGAGGGTAAACCAGCCCACACAATCCCTGCACCAATGTGTGTGGTTCAGCATATTCCTGGTGATGTTTTGCAGTAATAATCTTCTTCTGCAAGGAAATGGTGCAAGGGAAAATAATTTCTAGACCAGATTCTGCTTACTTTGGGCTGGTGCAGCTGTAATGTGTTTCTTCTGACATGCAGGCAAGAAGGGAGCCTGTCTCTCACACAGCTGTGATGGGATTTGTATTTAGAGCAGATTGCAATGGAAGGGCACGTTTCCCAGAAACTCAGTCTTTATTGATTTGCTGTTGTACCATTCCTCAAGGTTTTGGTGTGTTTTGTATTTCAGACCAAGCCAAGCACCCTGCTTATCTTCTTCCCAAGTTGAGTGCATCCTTCTTCCATCTCTTATCACTGCATCTTTCTTCCATCTCTTATCTCTCCCGCTGCATGTGTGTGGATTCGTAGAAACTCAGGAGTGTGGCGGATGCTCCAGAGATGCTTTTAATAGAATAGTTGAGAGTTGTTTGGTGTCAGGAACGTGTAGAGCCAGGCAGAGCTTTGAAACAGGATGTCATGTTGCTGTTTTGCATGTTGACTTTAGGAGAACGTCTCCCCCAATGCCAGCTGGCCCAACAGTGACCGGCACGTTGACCAGGAGGACGCGATCGAAGCCTACCAGGGCATGTGTGAGACCAATCGGTAAGTGTGGCACAGACCCCTCCACACAGGGGGGATCCTGCCTGAGAGACAGCTCCACCCCAAAATCAATGTGTTTTAGAGAGCTACCAGCCTCTGGATTGTGTTATGGACTCAAGGGTGGGCCATTAAGGTGAAACCAAAGACACACATCCTGAGGAATTGTAGAATCCCAGAAAGTCAAAAGAGATCTTTAAGATCACCTAGTTCCAGTCAGATACTGAGCAGGTGGAAAAGCAGACATGGAAGTGAGCAAAACTGAGTTTTGACTTTGCTTCCGGTATGTAAAAAGCAGCAAGACTAAGATTTGGGATTGTGTTTGTATTTATTTCAGATATCTCATACCATGTTGGGAGGATGCCACAGTTCCCTTCTGGTTTTCCCAGAGGCAGAAGCCTGTTGTGGTTAACTGAGCTAACAAACATGATATATTCCCTGGAAACACTCATATTATTGATTTTCTTGCACCCAAACTGGGTGTCAGGAACAACTTTTATTGCAGGTTTACCTCAATGAGGATTAATACTTTGAACATGTGTCTGTCCTGACAGTAACAATGGGGTGATATTGCCAAGCATTAAATCAGTCCTTGCAGCTGCCCAGGAGGATATCAAATAATAAAGCAATGTCTTTCAAGAAGAAAAAATTGCATGGATAAAAAAGCCCGATAATACGAAAAGTAAAATTTTATTTTACTTCAAGGAACTTGAATGTTTATCTTTCTTTTTTTTTTTTTCTCTTGACAAATACAGATGTTTGAAGCTTTTTCTCCCTAAATAATTTCCATTCAGCAAGGAAAAAGACCCAGCCATTGTGATTAATAGCTTTTAATAGCACAATATGATTTGCTACTTTTTAAAGTGGTTGTGGAAGGTTGTTAACATTCCATGCTGGGACCTGACTTAATGAGGACTTTATTCACACCTGTATGAATATGAAGAAAGGCCCATTTAGTGGAGCTCAAAACCCTGATGGCTGAACTGAGGCTCTTCCCAGGCTGTTCTGCCAGCATTCACCAGGTCTGGAGGCCTGGGGAGGCCTGGAGCAGTGGGGATTGTTGGGGTCCAGGACTCCTGTGACATTGGTTTCACACCTGAGCATCATGTCTGGCTAGATAATGACTAGTCTTTGTGGTTTTTTTCAATTTGCTATTGAATATTTGCTTTCCTGAAGTGAACTTGCTGATGAAATTTCTGCCCCTCCTGCAGTAGAGGTGATGAGATTAATTTGCACATCACATTCTTGTCAGTAAATCAGTGGAGCTCAGTGTGCTTCCTGCAGCAAGGAGTGAGTTTTGGTCATTTAGTGAATTCTATGAACTTTCTCTTCTTTCCTTCATTGTCCTTTCCAGCATTCTCCTGGAGCTGTGGGTGCTCATACCCATGTGAAATGAGATGTGAAATGCCATTGTTTGGCACAGCTTTAATTTCTCCCTGTATTTTCCAGTGTGCATGTGTAGGGAAAGTTAGTTTGTGTTCAGGGGTTGGTGAAGGAGTCAAAATAAGGGTTGCTGCTTTCACAGGACGTGTGTCTGACCCAAGGGTGACACTGGTCCCCAGTATAATTTGGTATCTGGCCATAGTGGTGCACATTGTCTTCTGTAGCCTGCCAGGAGGCTCCAGTCCTCCTCCAGACACACTGGTTTCACAACTGACTTCTGCAGAAAGAACTGAATTGTAGAATCATTTAGGTTCAAAAAGATATCTTGAGGTCCAGCTCTTCCCGCAGCACTGGCAAGGCCAGCACTAAACCATGTGCCACATCCACGTGGATTTTAAATCCCTCCAGGGCCTATAAGTTTCCAGGATCTAATTTTCCTCAGGAGTACAAATCTCTTTCCTTGCAATTGTACGGATGAGCTGCAGTTTTAAGAAGTTCATGTCATCTGGCCTTGGCAATTTTTGGCTGCTTAAGTTTTGGGAGGGGAAATCTGCAGTCTCCAGGGTCAGTTCATTATTCTCTCATCTGCCTCTCATGTGAAGCTTGACTGGAGCTTGGCTCTTGAAATACAGCAGCAGTAGCTCTATATGCTCTCACCCTGATTTTCTGCAGTGATTTATCCAGTGGCTCATTAAGCACCACCAACCTCCCCATTACAAGGTTCCCTGTGCAGTTGTCTGTTTATTGGGTTGTTTTTTAAGCTGTAGGCTGGTGTGGATAGCAATAAAATGGATGAAGACAAATGCTTGGGGAGCCTGGATTATTGTGTTTGTAGACATAAATTAACATTCCCTCCCCCAGCACAGATTTGCATTTGTACTTGCACAGCTCTATACCCAAGGGTGTCAGCATGAGAAACAGAAATGCCTTCCTTTTCTAATCTTAATCAATAAATATTTTAATGGGAAGCTTTTCTGGTGGGGTTGCAGTTCTGAAGTGGGATTTATAAACAAGAGCCACTTCTTCTCTCACTTTCTCTGCAAGAAGCACTCCCATTTCTCTTTCATAGAATGGTTTGAGTTGGAAGGGACCTTAGAGACTTCTTCTCTCACTTTCTCTGCAAGAAGCACTCCCATTTCTCTTTCATAGAATGGTTTGAGTTGGAAGGGACCTTAGAGATCATCCAATTCCACCCCTGCCATGGCAGGGCCACCTCCCACTGTCCCAGGCTGCTGCAAGCCCTGTCCAGCCTGGCCTTGGACACTGCAGGGATGCAGGGGCAGCCCCAGCTGCTCTGGGCACCCTGTGCCAGGGCCTGCCCACCCTCCCAGCCAGCAATTCCTTGCCAATATCCCAGCTGGGCCTGCCCTCTGGCACTGGCAAGCCATTGCCTGGGTGCTGGCCCTGCAGGCCTTGTCCCCAGTCCCTGGGCAGCTCTCCTGGAGCCCCTTTAGGCCCTGCCAGGGGCTCTCAGCTCTCCCTGGAGCCTGAATACTTGTGCAGGGGAGCAGCCCCAGCTCTCCCAGGCTGCCTCCAGAGCCCAGGGGCTCCAGCCCTGGCAGCAGCTGCGGGGCCTCCTCTGGGCTGGCTCCAGCAGCTCCACGTCCTTGTGCTGGTGTTGCCCAGGGCTGGGGCAGCTCTGCAGGTGGGGTCTCACCTGAGCACAGGGGCACAGGGGCACAATCNCAAGAATTTAAAACTCCAGGTGCCTTAACATCTCAAGATAGCTTTCAAAATAACTTCTAAGGTTCAGCTGTTTTTAGAGGAGTTTCCACAACCTTCTGTTTTGTTTTTTTTCCTGGCTGGGAGGGTGGGCAGGCCCTGGCACAGGGTGCCCAGAGCAGCTGGGGCTGCCCCTGCATCCCTGCAGTGTCCAAGGCCAGGCTGGACAGGGCATGCAGCAGCCTGCGACACTGGAAGGTGGACCTGTCCATTGCAGAGATGTTGGAATACAAGTATTTTCAAGGTTCCTTCCAACCCCAACCTTTCAGTTATTCTGTGATTCTATGATTGTACACAGAGGAAAAGGAAAATGCAAATATTTGCATTTGCAGTGTTTATTTCTTCAGCTTGGTTTGTGATGGACGTGAACCATCGCTCCCCTGAGCCCCCAAGGTCAGGTTGCACCTTGGCTCACCTGCAAGCCCACCTGGGGGGAGAGTTCTCTCTTCTGGAATTCTGGAATCCAGAAGGATGGTTTGGGTTAGAGGGACCTCAGAGCCTTCCAGTGCCACCCCTGCCATGGCAGGGCCACCTTCCAGTGTCCCAGGCTGCTGCAAGCCCTGTCCAGCCTGACCTTGGACACTGCAGGGATGCAGGGGCAGCCCCAGCTGCTCTGGGCACCCTGTGCCAGGCCCTGCCCACCCTACCAGCCAGGAAAAAAAACAAAACAGAAGGTTGTGGAAACTCCTCTAAAAACAGCTGAACCTTAGAAGTTATTTTGAAAGCTATCTTGAGATGTTAAGGCACCTGGAGTTTTAAATTCTTGTGAAAACAAGGCAGGAGCAGATTCTGGTCAGACTAAGGCTGGAGGAAGCGCAGGCTGTGAGGTGAGAGGGCAGTGGGCTGTCCATGTCGGATGTCCATCCACGTGGATGTCCTGGCACAGCTGTCCAGAGGCTGCCCGGCCCTGCAGACCAGCCTGGCTCTCATCCTCGTGGTCACAGATACATGGGCAGATGTTTGGGGTGGGACAGCTGTGCCCGGCGTCACCCCTGGCTCTGGTGGGGGCAGTGACCCTTGCCCCTCTGCGTCTCGGGGCTGCCCGCTCCTGAAATCTGGGAATGGTGTTTGGATGTCAGCACAGACTGTTCGCTGAAAACCATCCTGAAAAGGCTCCTAGAGGGAAGGCCCAGGCAGGAAAACTCAACGTTTAAAGAGCTCAGAGGAAATAAATTATGGTGGGGTTAGAGATTAGAGCTGTTCCAACTGGATAGGGCTGTTTTCTCTGGTAACCCTCAGAGGGCTTGTGCTTGGGCTGTGTGTTTACAGTCTTCCAGCAACATAAAAAGGAAATCTCTGCTTGTAAATAAGGTGTTGTCTGAAAGTCATATCCTGCTCTAGGGTGGTTTTACTTTTATGTTTTAAGGGAAAGGGAATTTGATCCTCACACTGAGCTGTGGAAGATGCCTGCAGTTAAATGTTTGTTGGTTTCCCTGCATAAATACATCAAATCACAGAATATCCCGAGCTGGAGGGACCCACCAGGATCCTACAGTCCAGCTCCTGGCCCTGCACAGACACCCCAGCAATCCCAGCCTGGGCACCCCTGGCAGAGCTGTCCAAAGGCTCCTGGAGCTCTGACAGCCTCGGGAATGTCACCATTCCCTGGGGAGCCTGGGCAGTGCCAGCACCCTCTGGGGGAAGAACCTTGCCCTGATGTCCCACCTGAACCTCCCTGGCTCAGCTCCAGCCGCTCCCTGGGTGCTGTCCCTGTCCCGGGGAGCAGGGATCATTGCCTGGCAGTTCCAGTCTGTGTTCCAGGTGTTTCCCACCCCGGGGATGTCTCTGGAGATCACCTTCCTGGGCACGGGCGCTGCCTACCCGACCCCGGCGCGGGGCGCCTCGGCGCTGGTGCTGCGCAGGGAAGGGCAGTGCTGGCTCTTCGACTGCGGCGAGGGGACGCAGACACAGCTGATGAGGAGCCACCTGCGAGCAGGTTTGTGCTGCTGTGATGGGCAGGGCAGGGGAGAAGCTCAGGGAGATGCGAGCGCTTTGTTCCCGGCCGGCAGCTGGCAGGGTAAGGAAGGGAGAGCGGCGGGGGCCGCCCAACCTGCTCTGCAGCAATCTCTGGCTGCCCCTCGGCAGAGACAGACTGCAGTAACTGCCCGGGCAGAGCAGGTTAAAACAAGAGCGGTTTGCTGTTTGCAGATGAAACCTGCGCTGAGCCTTCCTGTGGGTAAATGTTTCTTCTCCAGCGAGGCTGTGTGTGCGGGGGTAACCTTTACGGTTTGGCAAACAAATCTGACACCAAGCTCGCCTCCAGTCGCTGTGCTCTCACTCTCCTCAGCGGCAGGAGCTGACTTTTGTCTCCCAAGGAGTGAAGATGAATTGTTACAAAAACGAGCACAAGCCCCTGCTCCTCCAAAACCTCTCCGGGAATTTAATGACAGGTAGATAGACTAATTTCTATGTATTTTTTTAACTGAGTTCGTCTCGAAACAAAGGGGATTGTGTCATTCCTCTGTCTCAGTCCCAGCAGGTGCTGTGTGGAGGGGGGATCTCAGCAGCCTGGGTGAAGGACACGTGTCTGCAAGGAGAGAGAGTTCTGGGCTCTTCCAGCCCAGCGCAGCGAGAAGCTCAGGCACAAAGAGAAGCTCAGACTTTTGCAGAGCAATTCTTCTCTTATTTAAAACAAACCAGCCAGGAACGCTGGGGCTCCTGCCTCTTGAAAAGCTCTGAAGTCAAAACTGCGTGCTGGTTTGGTTTTGGTTATTTTGGTTCGTTCCGTGGGCTGGAGTCGAAAGGAGGAGCGACACGAATTCCTCATTGTGTTTCCCATTAGTCCAGAGTTTTCCTGTAATTTAAGGTCAAATGCTTGCCGGCTCTTCTTTGCATTTCACGAGGCAGATGTCGCCAGCCAGTCCCATGCTGTGTTTGTAGAAGAGTGCTTGGCTTAGGAGGAGCCCAAACCTGCATCTCTGCAGCCTCTTCTTGCCATATCAGGCCAAAATAATCCTGCTCTGGGAGGGATGTGACAGAAATACCCTTTGCTTTGGGATTTCTTTGTTAAACACTGCTTTTAATTTCCCTCCTTCCTTATTTGAAGAGTCTTGCCGAGCCATTTCTGAGCAGTTGCATTGTTTATTTTCCTGTCTTTTTTGTCTTTTCCCGTTTGAATCAACAGCCAGAATTACCAAGATTTTCATCACCCACCTTCACGGCGACCACATCTTTGGGCTCCCCGGGCTGCTGTGCACGCTCAGCCTCCAGAGCAGCCCCGATGCCAGCAAAGCCCCCGTTGATATTTACGGGCCACTGGGGCTACGGAGCTTCCTCTGGAGGAGCCTGGAGCTGTCCCACTCGCAGCTCCTCTTCCCCTACACCGTCCACGAGCTGGTCCCCACGCCGGACCAGTGCCCCGCAGAGGAATTCAAGGATTTCTCTGGCTTGGACAGGGCTGAGGCGCTTCCCCAGGGGCCTCCAGGGAGAGTCCTGCACCTGGATCCAGCAGAAGACTCCTACTTGCTGGTGGAGGACGAGCAGCTGGTTGTGAGAGCGTTCCGCCTCTTCCACCGCGTGCCCTCCTTCGGCTTCGTGCTGGAAGAAAAGCCCCGGCCTGGGAAGCTCAACGTGCAGAAACTGAAGGACCTCGGTAGCTACTCTGACTTATTTTTCCTCTTTCTGCCTCTTTTCTGAGCAGCTTCCTGCGGGTTGTAGCAGATGGGAGGTGCTGCCACCTGTTCTGGCTCAGCTTTCCGCTCTGGCACCTGAGCCCCGTGCAGCACTCTGAGCTGGTGTGTGGGAATACCACAGACCCCTTTCATGCTGGGAGCAGCCACAAAGTTCTCAGGTGCCAACGTTCAAACAGCTCAGCGTGGCTTTCAGGAGAACACATGGCCAGTTACTGACTTTCATACCAGCTATAAATTTGGGGTTTGTATGTAATTTCCCTGGGCAGCTGCGGCTGCCCCGTTCCTGGAGGTGTCCAAGCCCGGGCTGGAGCCCGCTGGGGCGGTGGAAGCTGTCCCTGCCCATGGCAGGATGAGCTCTAAGGTGCCTTCCAACCCAAGCCATTCTAGGATTTTCTCCAAACACCCTTCCCGTTACGGCTACGAGCTCTTAATTCCTACCAGAAATGTGAAATTCCGATTGAATTTTATACTGAGTTGTGTGAGGCAGCTGAAGCTGGTACAGTAACATAACGAGTGTGACACTTGCTTTGCCTTTACCTGCCAGGAGTCCAGCCAGGCCCCCTGTACGGGAGGCTGAAGAGCGGGGCTGCCATCGTGCTGGAGAGCGGAGCCACGCTGCGTCCCGCGGACGTGCTGGAGGCGCCCATTCCCGGCAGGAAGATCTGCGTGCTGGGCGACTGCTCGGGGCCGCTGGGGGCCGGGGCACTGCGGCTGTGCCAGCAGGCTGACCTGCTGGTGCACGAGGCCACGCTGGGGGACAGCCAGCAGGACAAGGCGCGGGAGCGCGGGCACAGCACCCCCGGCACGGCCGCGCGGCTGGCACGGCAGTGCCGCGCCAAGAGGCTGGTGCTGACACACTTCAGCCAGCGCTACACAGCCGGCCACGCCGAGCTGCAGCAGCTCAGGGGACAGGCCGAGGCCGTGCTGGACGGCCAGGAGGTGATGCTGGCCGAGGACTTCATGACCATAGAGATACCAGTGAAAAAGTGAAAATGTGACTTTATGTCCCCACTGAGATCCCAGTGACAAAGTGAAATCCAGGGAATTTGTGACCTCAGAGATCCCAATGACAAAGTGAAAATGTGACTTTATGTCCCCACAGAGATCCCAGTGAAAAAGTGAAAATGTGACTCTTTGTGACCTCAGAGATCCCAATGACAAAGTGAAATCTGGGGACTTTGTGACCACAGAAATCCCAATGACAGAGTGAAAATGTGACTTTATATCCCCACAGATGAGATCCCAATGACAGAGTGAAATCCAGGGACTTTGTGCCCATGGAGATCCCAGTTAAAAAATGAAAATTTGGGACTTTGTAACTACACAGATCCCAGTGACAGAGTGAAAATGTGACTCTATGTGACCACAGAGATCCCAATGACAAAGTCAAAACTGGGGACTTTGTGCCCACAGAGATCCCAATTAAAACATGAAAAACGGGGACTTTGTGCCCACAGAGATCCCAATTAAAACATGAAAAGCGGGGACTTTGTGCCCGCAGATGAGATGGCAGTGACAAAGTGAAATCCAGGGGGATGTCAATGGCGAGGTGCAGAGGGTGTTGCTGTTGATCTGAGCTGTCTGTGGGGACAGGGTGGAGTGGCCCAGCACTGCAGGTTGCCAGCAGAGCCTTTGGTGGCCAGACGAGCTCTGCAGAACTGCAAACTGCAGGGAGTTGTGTTGTTTCTGTACAGGGAGACGAGAGGATGCTCCAGCCCCTGGCACCTGGAGCGAATGCACAAGTGGCAGACTCCCCAGAGCCCGGGGCCTCCCAGGGCACAGCACTGCATCCCCTGGCTCAGTGCACCTCAGGAGGGTGTCCTGACCCTTAAAAACCTCGGGGAACATCTCTGCCACCCCCCAGGCAGCATTCTGTGGCCTTGAAGTTAATAAAGCACTGAGACCCTGCCGAGCGTTTGTAACTTCTGCTCATCGGCTCTTCTCATTGCCCAGCTGCGTGTGAAGTTGTTTCATCAATAAATAAAGTTTAGGCTTCCTGTCAGCAGTGAATTTCTCTTAGCAGTTCGATCCACTCAAAGCTCTGAAGTGTCAGCACTGCATTTTCCCGCCCAGTAACGTTCTGGAGGCACGCTCCAGAGGCAGAGGGCAGGCAGTCTCGATTAAACTGTCCCTCCAAGTGCATTTTGAAGGATAGATTTCCCCAGCAGACGCACGTCTGTGTCTGCAGAAATGTCCCTGCGGGGGAATGTCACCTGCACGTTCTTGGCCTGTTCCTGCAGTGACTTTATCCCCTCCACTGGGGGACACGCAGACCCGACTTCTGTCTCCTGTGCCCCCACCCCAAAACAGAAGCGGGAGTTTCCCGGATTTGAGCTGAATTTGGTGATCTGCAGCAGAACGTGTGCTGGTGAGAAAGGGGCCCTGGGTGTCCCCTGGGAAGTGCTGCGGGAAGCTGGAGCACCGATCCCCTGGTGAGAGGATCAGGATGATCCCCAGGAGGATGGGATGGGATGGGATGGGATGGGATGGGATGGGATGGGATGGGATGGGGATAGGAAACGGGATAGGAATGGGGATAGGAAAGGGGATAGGAAAGGGGATAGGAAAGGAGATACAGGCAGAATGCAGGATGGGGTTGGAGACGGGATAGAAACAGATGGAGATGGGAGTGGGGTTGGGGCAGGACTGGCAGGCAGAGTTTCCACCCCACCGCTCCAGCTGCACAGGTAACCTTAAACGCCAAAGCAGGAGCACGGGGACAGAGTTTTTCCAGCCTTATTCCCAGCTGTCAGGCGGTGATTAATGGCCAACAGCCTCGGAATTGCCTTTATTGCCAGCCCAGCATTGTTACTTGTGACAGCTAATGAGGGCAGACAGACTTCACACCGTGCCTTGTGCTGGCCCTGTCGGACCCTCCCCGCACCCTGCAGGGACCGAGCTGGGCACAGCCCACCGGGGGCTGCCCACGGGATCCCATCCCTGAGCACAGAGATCCCATCCCTGCCCACGGGATCCCATTCCTGCCCACGGGATCCCATCCCTGCCCACGGGATCCCATCCCTGAGCACAGAGATCCCATCCCTGCCCACGGGATCCCATCCCTGCCCACGGGATCCCATCCCTGAGCACAGAGATCCCATCCCTGCCCACGGGATCCCATCCCTGCCCACGGGATCCCATCCCTGAGCACAGAGATCCCATCCCTGCCCACGGGATCCCATCCCTGCCCTCATCCCGACCCAGTCTCTGCCCAGGATCCCATCCCAGCTCCATCCCCACATGTCTGGAGCCACGAGCACACAGAGATCCCCAAACTGGCTCACTGAACTCCACAGAAAACCCCACAGGATATTTTAACAGGGGCAGGGGGATGAGGTGGGAGTGAAGAAACTGGAGAGAACTGGATGCAATAAACCATTTATTCTTACAAAAAGCCCTGTTAAAATCCCAAGCGCTGCAGCACAGACACCGCTGAACGTTCCTGGCCTCGAGTCCAGCACTAATGATTTTTTTGGGCTTTTTTTCTTTTTTTTTTTTTTTTTCTAGGATTATTACAAATAATATTTACCTTTGTGCTGGTTCACATCTTGATGCTGTTAAACACGTGGCCACAGCTGGTTTCCCACTCAGGGCAGTGATATAGTGCCGGTGTTATGAAGCAAAACCTTTCCTGCGAGCCAGAACACCCCACATTTAAAAACCTATTACTTTTCAATATTCCATGGATGCATTTTGCTCCAGCTCAGAGCAATTTCCTAGTTTACCCTTATTAAACTGAGAGGGGCTGAGCAGAGGCTTGTGATTTATGAAACACATACTAGATTCATTAAAACCTTTAAAGATTTAATACATTTTATCAAGGCCTTAAATCTGGGCAAACGCCTTTAAAAAAACACCAACTACAGGGTGTTTTTCATCTCTGGCGCCCTTTTGCGCTTATTTAAGAGCTGTAAAATTTGGATTGACAAATATCGTAGATATTTCATTCCTTATTCCTAAATGGCACTGAACCCTCCTGACAGGGTTGTTATATATAACCTCGGAGATCTATCACGAGTAAAGATCAAATCATTCTCCTTTATTGACATTTTATACATCTCTCCCATGGTTTTTAAGTCCCTTTCCAGGGTTGCAGAGCTGGATAATTCTGGGTTTTCTGGCCCATCCCATTCCTGGGATTGCAGAGTGATCCGTGAGGGGGGCGATGCTGGGGGAGGCCAGTCAGGAGATAAAAAATTTGTGGCTGATAAAAATAATGGAAAGAGGGGGGATTTAGGCTGGGTGTTAGGAGTCAGATCTCCAGGAGAATTTGGCCACGCTGGGATTGTTGGGGTGTCTGTGCAGGGCCTGGGGTTGGACTGGACGGGCCTGGGGGCCGAGGATCTGTGGGAAATGTGGAAATGTCCCGGGCTGCACGGGACGAGGCTCGATGTCCCTTCCGACATTTACCATTCTATGCTCTTCAGACCCCTCTGCGCCGTTGTCCCGCTCTGTCCCCCCGGTCTGTGCGGGGAGCGGGCCCGGGGGGCTCAGCGGGGAT